GTCAATTTTTGACCTCATTTCCATTTCAAATAGCACCAATGATGCTCATAAACATGAAAATCAACAAAACCATGCTTGCATGTAAGCTACAATGCTCAATTCTTCACAATTCACATATTACATGCTAGATTATGTAATTCTCTACATAGATGCACACATGGACTTCAAACTCATCAAATACAACACAATTCTAGTTCTTGATCACCAACCAACTTAAATTCACAAAATTACAACATTGAGCTCATGAATTAAGGGTTGATTACTTACTTAGGAGCTTTGATTTTTAAAAATTCTAGTTGAATCTTGAGTCCAACCTTCCAATTTCACAAACTTGAGCCAAACACACAATTTTCTTTCTTTCTCCCTCTCTAGCCGACCCCCTCTCCTTTCTTATCAGCCAAGTTGAATAAAAGAGGAGTATTGAGCATGTAATGGCCCTCATATAGCCCCCTCTAATTCACATTATTTTAATATTAAATAATTGAGCACTTAACTCATTAATTTAATCTATTTAATCCAATCCGAATCAATTTTCAATCAAATTTCACCGTAGGCTCTAAAAATCACGCTAATCACAATGGCGTAATCAATTTCGGGTTCGGTGGCCGATAAGGCCTTCAACTTAAATTCCAAAGCAGATAATCAAACAGATATTCCTACGGTGAACAGATAGAAATTCAAAACCACATATTTTCACATAAATGACACACAAAATCATATCAAACACATAATCACATTCATAATGAGGACCAATTAGCATAATATGGAACAGGGTTATCACAATTTCTTGAGTGACATATATGAAAATTGGAATGAGAGACTAATTAGTTGCATGTCTTAATTTCATTGATTTGGGTTTTGGATTTTTTGCACTGTTAGCTGTGTTTTTATAGTGTGGATTCTTTAGGTTTGACGTTTTGCATGTTTGAGAATATTTGTTGATGGAATTTATCTTGATATGTACTTGGGTTTTTTAATTAGTGTTTTGAATATGGATCACCCTTGTAAAACTTGATTTGGGCATAATTCTAATTTTATTTGGAGTTGGTAATCGAATTTTGGTTTGGCATGCAATTGCCCTTGTATATGTTTTTGGATTTTTGTTTATAGATCAGCAACCTTGATTATGAAATTTATGTTCATGTGGATCAGAGTTGTGGCTATGATTTTAATTATAGTTCAATTTACAGTTAATATCTCCAGATGTGGCTACGTTTCAGATTCAGAAGCCCTTTTTTTTTCTTTTCTTTCTTTTTCCCTTTTTTCTCTAGATTTTTTTTATAATGATTCCCAAACACAAATTAATATTTATAATCGTGATAATCCCTTGTTTATTCCAAATCAATGTTGTCAATATTCCTAAAATGTTTGTCAAACCCATAGGTTTAATGACAGATCTAGTAATTTTATGAGCACATTTTTTTTTACTACTTTGCAAATAAGGGATGAAGCCAGGACTTGAACAGTTTCTAAATCTTGCACTTATTTAGTGGAAGCAAAATTTATGTCAAATTTTACTAATTCATAGTGTGATTATGTTTGTTAACCGGCCACATGAGTATCAACTGTAAATAACTGGCAATGAGAGACTAATTAGGAAAGGAAAGTATGAAAATTGAAATCTCCAAAGCAGAAACAAATAAAGCGGCATCTTGAACATATGAAATTGTAAAATGGTGGGGTGTAAAGTTGGTTATTCCAGGTTCTTTCATTGTTTTAATGAATTGGTGGTTTGGGTCAAAATTGAGATTGTTTCATGTTTTTTTCCCATGGAAATTGTCAAACTCTTGCTTGACAGGAAAATGTGATGCTGTGTTTATGACTTCTGATTGAAATTATGTAGATTTAATATTTCTCTTTTCGAGACAAGTATCTCTTGAATTATATTTTGGCACAATAGTACAATGAACTCCATCTGAGCATTAAAAGGGAAAGATAGAACTCTAGCTTTTAGAGGAAATGGGAGAGAAAAATTTTAGGGAGAATAATAAATGGGCTGCCCTGAAGCAAGGCAAAGTAGAGGATCTGAAATATGGCGAATATGTTGTGTATGTGGATCTGGTCTAATTTTTTTTAAAACTTTTTTTTTTTTTTAGGTCATTGGAAACAATGGGCTACATATCTTGATCTTCTTTAGTCGGATTACATAGAGGGGTGAGTATAATTTTGTTAGTATCTTCATCTTTTTCAGTGTTCTGAATGTAAATATATATATATATATATATCTTGATGTGCTGTAAGGGCCTCCAGTTGTGGGAGCTTTACTATTCTTTTAATTCTTTGTTCTCAATGAATTGAATGTAAAGTATGTTATTCTACCTAGCTTTGCTAATCTTGAAGTGCACCCTCATTGTGATTTCTTGTATTAAATATCTAAATGTCTCATGGGTGAAAACCAAGTAAAGAGCATTGTTGAGAGATAAAACAGATAATAACTACAGCTTGCTCTGTAAGTATGTTTTTCATAATTTAATTTTCAAATCACTAAAAGCACTTAACTTAATATATTTGTTGAAACAAATTACTGCTACTGTGTTGCTCCTGAGTTGGCTGTTGCTTGTGTTGAGTCTTCTCCTTGGGTTTGACCTTGCGGTTTGCTGCCTTGCTTCACCTTGATTGTTGAAAGTTGAACTGGTTTGGTCCCAATCATCTGTGGGTGATGGTTTGGTCCCAAGATTTTCATTTGTTATTAAAAATAATTAAAATGAGGCCTGCTCCTAATACAGATTTGCATCTATGCATCCAACCAATTCAACTTGCTTTGTTTTGTACCTAAGAAACAAAATCTAGGACAAAAAAACACAAACACAAATGATTAATATTATATATATAAGATTAAAATCTGATGATAGTTGCAGCTGTTGCTGCTGTTGCTTGTGTTGAGTCTTCTCCTTGGGTTTGACCTTGTGGTTTGCTGCCTTGCTTCACCTTGATTGTTGAAAGTTGAACTAGTTTGGTCCCAATCATCTGTGGGACCCTTCTATATCAGCACACACCTGCTGGGCTTATAATGTAATCCAATGAGCCTAGGAGATTGCTCTAACCTTGTTTTTTTTGGTGGCTGTCCTAGCCTGATTTGCACACAATGTTCAGTCTAGGTTCTAAGCCCTGTAAAGTGTAGATTTATTCCTGTAGTGTAGCTGCTTGTAGGAATCACTGAACTTCTTCTTTGTTGAGAAAAAACAGTTTTTTCATTTTAATTCTATGATAGTGTCTTTATATGGAGAAGCTTTGTGTTTCTATTGTAGGCCATGTGAGAGGATAACAAAACTAGATCAAAGTGGGTTATCGTCAATCGATGCCACTTCCCTGATGACTTGCCAGAGGTAGTTGGCCGACCGTGTTCCCCTGAAAGCAATGAGGTAATTGTTATGTCCATTAATTTAATTTAATTTTGTTGTCTGCGTGCATGTCAACAAGCTTAAATTTAGAAAGTATTAGCTCCCATCCTGATTGGTGCTGTGAATGTCAATAAGTTAGGGTGATAATGTAAAAAAGTGACAATGGGTTTTTTGTAATGTTGTCATTCCAATTACTGGTTTCTAGACCTAGGTCTTGGCCAAATTGGTTACACATTTAGGTTCTATTGAAATAGTAACTTTACTCAAAATGTTATATCCTACAATTTACTGTTCATTGATGATGCCATGAACAAGTATTTTCAATCCTTTCTGATTTGGGGTTTAAGAAAAAAATCCATGTTTAACAACAGTGTAGGGCTTGTATGAACTCCTTGTTGGTCCATTATAGGATTATGAGTCTAATCATGGTAAGGCTAGTAAATCCTAGTCTTGGTTGTCTGGCTGATAGATACTATATGTGAAAATTTATTGCTTTTGGGATATTTATTATATCTGGTAAGATTCTTACATAATTAATTTGTCATTGGCTATATCGTTTGTGATGCTATCCCTGGATTTTCCATGATATGGGTTTAACTTTGCGTAGTGAAGAAATTGGTGCAGCTGCCAAGGCATGGCCAGTTGGAATTTTTGGGCTAGTATGACCTCAAATTTCTTAAGTGCCATTATGATTTTTGTAGGTTCATTCTCTAAAGAATTTCTTTCTTGTCCTTCTTTAATGGAGAGGAGGATTTGTGGACCTGTGTCTGCTTTAGTGGTACCAATTTTCTGATCACAAGATCCAGTGATCTATAATATTTAATGTTATATGTAGTGTCGTCACTATTCTTCCAGTTTCATCCATTCATTTTTTAATGTTACAACATGTTATTGTGTGTAATAACTGTTAAATCTAAATAATCCCTGTGTACCTTCAAAAATTAAAGGCATGTTTGGTAACATTTCCGTTTATAGTTTTTGGTTTATTTTTACAAAAACTTTAAAAATTGTAACGTTACAATCTTTACATATTAAGCGGTTAATTTTCTTACAAGAAAGTTATTTCTTTGACAGTTTGACTTTTATTTGACCTACTTTAAAAGTTTTTAAGTATTCTTCTCTCTTTTATTATTATTATAATTTTTTTTTTTTAAATATTTTAAAGGTGTTGGTTACTATGCAATTAAATGCTACTGCGAAATTTAAGATACCTTCTCTGGCCTTGTTTTGGCCACTAAAATCAAATCTACCATGTATCGGGTTGCATCCGTACTTATCTTTTTTTACTTGACCATTGAAATCTCCACCTATTATTCTCTCCTCCAGTTATTTTTGCATTAACTCATCAGTTGATCCCAAAATTGTCTTTTAATATGTTCTCCAATCCTATTTGGCGTGCATAGGCGCTAACCACATTAATTATACTTGCCTCAATTAGTATTATTCTGTCCCCTATTGTCCTGTTACTACCTTATCTTTAAAATGTTTAGTTCCAATTATTTCTCTTCTTTTTTTTTCTTCAAATTTTAGTTCTTGATATAATACTAAATGGCTTCTCTTCTTGTCAGTGTAGGGTTCTATCTTGTTGTTGACTCCCTTATTTTCAAGGTTTATTTTGCAACTTTAGCTCTAGCCTCAAGAATTCGTCACAGGTATCACAATCAGGGCTTGGTTTGTAGTGTTTTACAGCCCTAGTCGAAGAATTACTAATCAATTCTTGACCTAAGTTGCAATATATTATTTGCTAAAAGCAACTAATAGATAACATATGAAATTGGTTCTATTAGACCTACCCCAAAAAGGAAAAAAAAAGCAAGCAAGAAGAAGAAGATTAGTAATGCAGTATAGATTGATTGATGTATGATCAATTATTCACCCTGTATAAGCACAAGCTTCTTAAGAACCCACCAGGATACTTTAATGCAGTATAGATTGATGTAGTTCATATTGTTTTACACATCCATATTTCTTTTTGAAGGTCTTTTCTCATGCATGTTTTCAATATTTGGTTTTTAGGCTGTTCTGGCTTAGTCTTTGGTCTGAAAATTGGGAGGCTCCTGTAACTATTTATTTATTTTCTTTATCTATGCATCTTGTCTTTTTGTTTCATAGTTACATTACCACCCAGAATCTGCAGAACGCCTTCTTTCAAAGTAGTTCAAGGGTAATATCTTTGATTCCCAGAAGTTCCAGAAACTCCCCCTTTAGTATTTCCAACTACTTATATGCTATCAAATCTAATATTTTCAGGCCTTCTTCCATCCAAGCACTCAAATTTTCTCTGCCCTTTGATTTGGAGGAAAACCTAGAAAGATGAGATGAGAGAGTTCAGCCATTTCATATCAATATTGGGGTTGGGAAGAGGGGAGGTAGAGGGGTGAGGGCATAACAATTGATTGAAGCAGTCATTTGCTATTTTCTATGGATTCTTTGCAAAATTTTGTTAGTGGTTCTGGTTCCTACAGGACTGGCCATATTTAGCTGTATGCCAACAACATTATCAAGTGGAGTGGCGTTGACTCGGGTATGTTAATTCGTATTAATGTTCCCTTGATTTAAGTTTTTGCTCCATTTTGATTCAGCAGCAGACCAGGACAGAAAAATGGTTGCAAGTTTGACAACATGATTTAATTGCTGAAATGCAGCTTGCTAGGGGGAATTTTGCTCTTGCACTTGCAATGACTGTAATATCTAATCTGCTGGGAATCTTGATTGTAAGTTGCAAGAGCTATTCATTAGAACATCGGATTATGTTTACATACTGGTTCAGCTTAGTTTCATTGCTGTAAGTTTTGTTGCCTTATTACATTTGGTATTTACACCAAACTTAGATCTTTTTGAATTGTAATTCAAGTATTTCTGCAAGTTTCCACGGTACTATCTTTGATGTTTCTTATTCCTTTTTTTGATTTGGATTCGATGTTTGTCTTTTCTCTGCATCTTGACTTTGGGCATCCAGATGATAGTGGAACTTGCTACTTATCTTACCTGCTTCTTGATCTACATATCACATAGGGGATCTTGATGACTGTCCAAGTTCATGCCACTCCTACATTTCAATTAGCTCTCTTAGTAGATAGTGTTGCTTGAAGGGCAACGGAGAATCAATGAGGAACTGAATGCAAGAGTAGCGTGGAGGTCAATGCCAAGATTGATTTGATGCTACAACAGATTAGTCAGGGAGGTTTTACTCCTGATTTATCATCATAGTAAGTACCTTATGCATATATAACCAATTCATAAATTAAGTTCCTTTCCCCCGCTACTCTCTCAATAACCTTAATCTTCATTGTCAATTGAAAATAAATATACATACTCTATTTAGAGTGATTTGGTGAGAAATGAAGAGGGGGGTGTTTGGTTTATAATTTTAGATTTGTTGATTCTATATATATTTGGTTTTATGACTTTAAAATATCCAGCCATATATTGAAGATTTTCATTTTGGATTTATTGATTCTATGTATATGTCATATTTATATATGGTAATACAAACATTTTATACTAGTAACAATCAAAGTCGTTATCCCTTTTCTATTGATGCAGGGGATGAAGAGTCAGTGTGATATTCTGATTTTGTCTTTTGTAAGACAAAAACAGTCTCTACAAAAATAGTAAGTTTATTCATATGCTTCTAGCGGTTTCTGAATTAATTTGTGTTTTTATTTTTCAGGTCAAAAATTTCCTGGAGAGATGCAAATAATGGTCAAAGAATTCAAGAACTTAGTTTTTTGAATTTTTTTTTTCATTTTTTAATATATGTAATCACAGTTAAAAACTTTTTATTAATTCCTTCGTATGTACTTTTGAACATTTAACTTTCATTTATGAAATATATGACGTTATTCCATTTAATATATGGTTGTGATTCAAAATATATATAGTATATAGTGTGTATTATATTCTTCAAATGCCCGTACAAAAATAACATTGATTATCCTCCAAATATGTTGAATTCTTTTTTTTATCACATGTTTTATTAGTTATTAATCACACTTAAAAGATGTGATCTAAATGTTATTAATTACACTTAAAAGATGTGATCTAAATGTTTTTAATCACACTTAAAAAATGTGATCTAAATGTTATTAATCACACTAAAAGATGTGATCTAAATGTTTTTAATCGCACTTAAAAAATATGATCTAAATGTTATTAATCACGCTTAAAAAATGTGATATAAATGTTTTTAATCACACTTAAAAGATGTGATCTAAATATTATTAATCACACTTAAAAGATGTGATGAAATCATTTTTTCATGACACTTAAAAAGTGTGATTAAAAATGACCCTTTTTAATCACACTCCCAAAGATCACACTTTAATAAAACTTAAAAGGTGTGATTAAAAAACATACATCACACAAAAAAAAGTGTAATCTTTATCGGTATTTGTAGTAGTGACTATTCAGCCATTCTACTACTACGGCTGAGCAAAGAGAAAAAAAGAGAGAAAGAGTTGAAAAGAAAAGAAAAAGAAAGGAAGAGAAGAGGGTGCTTGGTAGTCACCATTTCAAAACTAATCTTGAGAATTGTAACGCCCCAATTTTCATGCCCAAATGATAATACATTTACTTCAAAACAAAATAACATAAACAAATAAATACCCTCATGGGTTTACAAGTTTCCAAGGCTAAGGCCCGGTTACACAAATCGGTTATTCAAACCCACACAAATATAGCCATTGGCTTACAAAACAAAGTCACGCAAAATGAGAACATTGTACTCCCAACACACACACTTCCACGCCTTCAGTTAGGCGGAATCACCACTCCTTTTCCTGCACAAAATCCCGTAGGGAGAAGATAAAGCCCAGTAGAGAATTCTTAACAAAGTATATACATTTTACACAAGTCTCAAGAGATGGAATGCTTATGCCATGCCATGCCTTTTTGAAAGTAAAACACACATTCATCTTTTGAAAACCAACATGCTTAATGATGTCATGCCATTTCAACTGCTCAACATTTATCACATTTTATTTGAGGGGTGGTAAATACAACTCTGATAATCCCTAGGTCAATGTCTGCAAGTAGACTATACAAGTACTACCAATTTGTCATTTTTACCAGTATCAACTGGAGGGCTCGACACCTATAATCTGTCATTTTTACCAGTATTGACTGGAAGGCTCGTCACCTATTCTCTACACTACCCTTCAAGACTTACCATTGTATTTACCCCAAAACCATTTCATGAAAACTTGTTTTTCAACATTCCTTTCTCAATGCAAGTTTTCAAATCAACTTTCAAAGTTTAATGTAATCAAATGAATTGATATGCCAATGTAAAGAAGAGGTTAAGTGAGGGACCTATTTATAGTGCTAGGTCAAAGCAAAATGAAGTCCCAAAGTCAACCCAAAAGACCAAGTCAAAATCCCCAAAAAGTAGGTCCAAAACGGACTGAAATCTGGAAAAAAAATCTATAGGGGTCGACCCTTTCAACACAGGGGTCGACCTTATGAAGAAACTTATGTTTGACAGCATGCAAGAGGGTCGACCGTTAGACAGGAGGGGGTTGACCCTATTTCCAGCAACTAACACACATACATAAGAGGGTCGACTCTCTCCCAGTCTGGTGTCTACCCTATTTTCCAGCAACACTCCCAGAATTTCACCAACAGGTAAGGGTCGACCCTTAGGAAGGCTGGTGTCGACCCTAAAATAGAATTTCTAAGTTTCCAAGGGACTTTTGACAAGAGCAAGTGCGAACAACCAAACCCAACAATTTTAAATCGGATTATACTCCTCCAAAACCAACCCATAACAACACCAAAGATTTCCAAAATAAAAATAAAGGATTCAAATACACTTCCCAAAAGGTTTGAAGGACACAAGTGCCACAAGAATAGTTTGTAAAAGCTCTTGAGGTAGGAATACTCAACCTTTATCCTGCTTTAGATATTTTTTTAACTGAATCCATATATTAAATACATGTAAGAGTATGTATTGTTAAAACATACATAGCAAGAATAGCTCAATACATGTTTGCATAAATATCAAGAGTGTGCATTGTTAATACACACATAGCAAGAATAGCTCAATGCATGTTTACATTTTGATAGAATAATAATTTCATGATTATATGATTCCTATTCCTTCTTGCAAGCATAGATTAGATGGTTTAGCTACTGATTTTATTTTCTTATGTGTTCAAATATTCTCCATTGTTTGAAATAATCTTGCACGAGAGTAAAATGAGATAAAGTTGGTTCACTTATACTTGAAACTTATATTTTCTTCACTGTTTTAGATTTTATCGGATGAAAAATGCTCTAATAAAATGAAAATAACATGTGTTAAAAATATGTTTTTCTAGGAGTATATATAGGTGTTCTATACCGTGTGAAATTTTTATAAAATCATTGGACACCATTTTCTTACCGAAATAAATATTTGTTTTAAGTGTTGCTTACAACACAGTAGGAACAGTGACTTCAAGCAGGTCCCATTTTCTCTGAAAATGTTATTTTTCTACATGACCACTTGGGATAGTTAGATATAAGAGTTATATTTCATATTCTAAGAGGAGAAATTGCAATTTTACTAAAATGCGACAAAATCTGTCCAAGTTTCTTAGTAAAATTATTTGACCATCTTCCATTGGTTTTCAGTCTTCAAGCTCTTCTGTAAATATGTTCTAAACTCAAATATAGCAAAACGTTCTGATCTTACCTATTTTTGACATTTTTTGAGGCCCCTTTTTATTTTTCCAACATAGAACACCTGTGCTGGAAGTTGTTGTAACTCACTGTCCCAGAAACCAGTTTTCTTTCAAATTTTATTTCTCTATTTTAAAATTGTTTTTATGCCTGGTACTCTACTGAAAATATTTTCCTAACTCAATGAACTAGTACCAGTTAAAATATCGTAATAATTGAATGTCATTTGGTATGGGTTTCATTATTTTTAGTTCAATCATTCAGTGCTGAAAATATGAAGTGTGGGAAGTTCTAAGAAATTTTGTAATGACTCCTAAGACATTCTATAATACTTATTTTGGTTTCCATACGTGGTTTTATTGTGCTATATGAACCGTATGTCACTGTGGTTTTCAAATTAAAACTCGCTCATGCATCAAAATGTGATTCGACAAAGTAAAGAAACACGAAATTGAACCGATGCATTAAAAGTTAAAAATGATGGAGTGAGCCCGGTTTAGAGTCTTGTGCAAGTGAATTGCGAACCCTAACATGGCACGGGAAGGTATTTCAGCTCCTATCGATATAGGCGATATAAGGTTGGTGTTGCGAGTGTCACAACATAGACCGTTCCCTTGGGGTAGACCGTGATGTCACGACAAGGGTACGTAACCTTGGTGCGTGGGCATCATTGGTAGTTACAGCAAGTAACATTTGAATATTTGACCAAAGAGGAGTCAGAATTGCCCATGGCCATTGCTTAGCGGTGTAGACGTCCCCCGAACGCCCTCGGGAGGATGAGTCCCGTTCCGTTCATTTGGGGTTACTACAGCTCGGACTCGATTTGTGTCACGGTTCTAAATCTGAACCAAAGAGTCCAAATCTGGCAAATCGTTTTGAGAAACAGATTTTTTTTTGAAAAAGTAGTGTCAAACATGGACTGCTTTGCCAGATACAGAGTCGCCACCTAAATATTTTAAAATGGGAGAATTTAGGAAACCCTGACTCGGTGCCGAAGGCCACATGTCCGTCATCACCGGAGTTGTCTCGGCTCGGGAGCTTGGGTACGATCGGGGAAGGTCAGCTATGAGCACCCCCTTTCGCCCGGTCCGAAGACCGGCCTCTACTAACCATGATATCCGATTTTGAAAACTTTATGTGTTCTTATTCCATTTATTAGCCTAGAATTACTACGTTATGCGCGCAGCAAACAAGTATAGACTAGATTGCCTAATTTGGAAATAAGCATTGCATATCCGTTCGTTTTGAAAAGTGCTTTGGAATTTGCTACTCGCAGGTAGGCTAAAAATACGGATTTCAACGAGTTTTCCCAACTAAAACAATCCAACCTTCACCCACAGGCATTCAAACAATTTAACACATAAGCATCTAGCCACATGTTAAGCATGCTATCATGGCAACATTCACACTCATGCGATATGCTAAAACGGAAAGACTTACATCGTACTCCGCGCCAAAACAATAAACTAGTTAGCAAACATGCATGTCCTAGTTCATGTTAAATTGCCTAATGCAACGCATACGGGGTGCAATCGAAGTAGGCTCGACTAACCTAAGCATGGCATATGGGATGCGATTAATTGATGCACGTATTCAATTTGGAATTGAAGTACAAATGCAGTTAGCGTGATGTACTAAGCCTAATACATGTAATACAAATGCATGAATGCACGCATGCATAGCATAAGTTATGCTAATTTAAACGTGCCCTAATACTAACCACCAAAGCAGGTAAGTAAAAGGGAAGAAAGAAGTGGGGATTGGAAGACATACACCACTCACACACACTTATTACAGATTTGCCCTCGCCCGGAGGGACCGAATAAATATTACAAATTAATTAACTACGCAAGCTAATTAAATATTACAAATTGCCTAATCAACTAAGCAAATTAACTAAAGCTAGAAAAACAGTAAACCGCCTCGGGAGGAGGGCTCGATGCAATGCATGCTCAGTCCCGCTCGGAAATACACCGCCATGCATAGGCTGCCTCTGTTTTCCTTCCTTCACTCCTCTGGAGGCTGCCAAAACCTCAGGACTGCATCCTTGGGTGCTGGGAAACATCACCGGCTGGATGGGATCACCACCGGCAGTGGGATATGGCCACCGGCACAAAATGAAGCTATCGGCAGAGAAATCATTGCCGGTCGGCAATCTATAC